TGCATGACTAAATGTTATATAACATGTTAATTGTATAATTTTAATATATTTTGAAAAATTTTAAATTATGTAATTCATCAGGAATTTACTTTAGAAAATCTGTTTCCTGACAGAGTGGTTTTGATGAGCACATGGTGTTGGAATTTTATAACTGGAATATTGTATAACAATGCAGTTATCCACTAAGGCAGAAACATGAATTAGAGCATGAATTTATTTGAACCAATGTTTTTTAGGGTCTGTTTAATGTGCAACTCTTTATAGAAACTGACTGTAGGCACATCTCGTTTTGTTGCACTTCACTTTATTGCACTTTATAGATCCTGTGTTTTGTTTTGTTTGGTTTTAATTGGAGGTTTGTGGAAACCCTGCTTCCAGCAAGTCTATTGGCGGCATTTTTCTAAGAACATGTAAAAAACTTTCATGTCTCTGTGTCACATGTTAATACTTCACATGCAATATTTCTAAAACTTTTTCATTATTTTTATATCTGTTATGGTGATCTGTGATCAGTGGCCTTTATTGTTACTATTGTAATTTTTTTCATTTAACATGAACTACACGCATATGACAGCTAACTTAATTGATAAATGTTGCATGTATTCTGACTGTTCCACTGACTGTTCCCCACCAATCTCTTTCTTTCTCCTGTACCCTCTTTGTACCCTGAGACACAACAATATTGTATTTAGGCTATTAATAACCTTACAATGCCCTCTAAGAGTTCAAGTGAGAGGAAGAATTATGTGTCTCTCACTTTAAATCAAAAGCTTGAAATGATTAAGCTTAGTGAGAAAGGCATGTTGAAAGCTGAGATAGACTGAAAGCATAGTCTCTTGTGCTGAGCTGTTAGCCAAGTTGTGAATGTAAAGGAAAAGTTCTTGAAGGAAATTAAAAGTGCTACTCCAGTGAACACATGAATGATAAAGCAAGCAAAACAGCCTTATTGCTGATATGAAGAAAGTTTATGTGGTCTGGATAGAAGATCAAAGCAGACACAACATTCCGTTAAACAAAAGCTTAATCAAGAGCAAGGCCCTAACTCTATTCAATTCTATAAAAGCTAAGAGAGGTGAAAAGGCTGCAGAAGAAAAGTTGAAAGCTGGCAGAGATTGGTTCATGAAATCTAAGGAAATAAGTCATCTCCATAGCATAAAAGTGCAAGGCGAAGCAGCAAGTGCTGATCAGAAGCTGCAGCAAGTTATCCAGAAAATCAGGCTAAGCTAATTGATGAAGATGGACATGCTAAACAATAGATTTTTCAATGTAGTCAAAACAGCCTTACAACAGAAGAAGATGCCATCTAGGACTTTTACAGCTAGTGTGGGGGCCATCACATCTGCCGGGGGGCTCTTGGCTAGCAAGAGGGTCCCAACCTGGAGAGGGGGGTGTGCAGAAGAGAAGAAGAAAGAACAGATGGGGTCTGGAGGGTTGATAAGTCAGATGCTTCATCAACAGCTTTATTGAACTCAGGGTCTGATTATATACGTTACAAGTAGAAGTGTTTACATCATGGGATCGGTGTTTCGTGGGAACAGAAAGTATTACAATACAATCACAAGTCACCATATTTTGGATAAATATGCTGGGAACAGGGAGGTACATAATCAGATTAAAGCAGGGGGTGCAATTATCAGTCACAAGAATCTGGGTGCAATATCTAAGTTTAAAAGTTTAAAAGAAACTAGGGCAGGAGTTTCACAAGAAAATCACAGGCTACATTATAAATCATTAAGTCACAAGCAGTATTGTAAATACTGTATCAAGGGTCCAGGTGTAGGAAAAACATAAACAAAGCAATTTTTACTATCAGCTTGCTTTGAAGATTTAAGTCATAACTTTAAGAAGAAACTATAATGAAGAGAGAAACAAAAGTGGACACTGTGAGAACCAAAAATAGACACTGTGAGAACCAAAAGCAGACACTGTGAGAACCAAAAGTGGACACTGTGCCTCCCATCACCTCAGCACAATAGAATAGTAACTCATGTCATTTTTTGTATATCACATAAGCCTTCTTGCAGTCCTTCTTCCCCATAGCTCGACTACCTTCAACAGGGGGCCTGTGTCCGGGATCAAGCTCAACCATATGGTGTGACCCACTACTTGGGGGTCTGACATGGGAGCGTTCCCACAAGCTAGGGAGGAAAAGTAAATGCCTGGTTTCAAAGCTTGAATGGACAAGCTGAGTCTTTCATTAAAAACTAATGCAACTGGTGACATTATGTTGAAATTAATGCTCACTTACCATTCCAAAAATCCTAGGGCCCTCAAGAATTATGTTAAATCTCCTCTGCCTGTGTGCTATAAATGAACCAATAAAGCCTAAATGATGGTTCATCTGCAGCATGGTATACTGAATGTTTTCAGCCCACTGTTGAGAGCTACTGTTCAAAAAAGGAAAGAAATTCCTTTAAAATATTACTTCCACTGACAACATATACATCCAAGAGCTCAAATGGAGATGTATGAGGAGATTAACGTTTTCATACCTGCTAACACAATATTCACTCTCTAGGCTGCGGATCAAGGAGTAATTTTAACTTTCAAGTTTTATTAGTTAAGAAATGCATTTCATAAAGCTATATCTACCATAGATAGTGACTCCTCTGATGGATCTGGGTAAAATAAGTAAAAATCCATTGAGAAAGTGTATACCATTGAGAATATTCATGATTCATGAGAGGAGGTCAAAATATTGTTAACAGGAATTTGGAATAAGTTGATTTCAGCCCTCCTGGATGACTTTGAGGGGTTCTAGACTTCAGCGGAGGAAGTAACTGAAGATGTGGTAGAAAGTGCAAGAGAACTGGAATTTGAAATGGAGCCTGAAGATGGCAACTGAAGGGCTATAATGTCATGATGAAACTTTCATGGATCAGAAGTTGCTTCTTGGGAATGAGCAAAGAAAGTGGTTTCCTGAGATGAACTCTATTCCTGATGAAGATACTGTAGATATTGAAATTACAACAAAAGATTTGGAATACTAGATAAACATAATTGGTAAATTAACAATAGGTTTTGAGAGGATTGGCTTCCATTTTGAAAGAAGTTCTTCTGTGCATAATATGCTATCAAACAGCATCACATGTTACAAAGATACCTTTTGTAAAAGGAAGACTTACAAAGGAAAACTTTATTGTCCTACTTTAAGAAATTGCCACAGACTCCCCAGCCTTCAGCAACCACCACCTTGATCAGTCCGCAGCCATCAGCATTGAGGCAAGACCCTCTACCAGTAAAAAGATTATGACTTGCTGAAGGCTCAGATGATCATTAACTTTTTAAAACTGAAATATTTTAATTAAAGAATCATTTTAATGTTTAGACATAAATAATACTTAGATGATGTTTAGAAATATTGTTTTAGATATATCACACTCTTAATAGACAACAGTATAGTATAAACATAACTTTTCTATGCTTTTGGAAACCAAACACTTTGTATGACTTTATTGCAGTTGTCTAGAACTGAACTTACAATATCTCTGAGGTACACTTGTATTCTTAGTGTGGTCATTATTTCACTCTAGTGTGTTCCCTCATTCCTCCAGTTACTGTAGTTTTCATTCAGTAAATAGGTATGAACACTTACTATATCTGGGATTCTTTGCTACTTGCCAAAAATACAGTGGCTAAAAATAGATGTGCTCCCTGCCCTCATGAAACTGGTGTGTTGAAAGAGAGAGACATCATAATTTATCTTGGTAATTTAGGAAAACCATTATGAATGTTGAACTTTGGAATATTCTGTTTCTGCATTTCATATGATGATTTTTTATTAGCACAAATCTCAGTTTTATAATTATAAATTGTAGATTTTTTAGTTTGAATCAAATATTTTAAATTTCTTTGAGATATCTAAAATATTTATATAATTATCTGATAGCTTTTTAAAAATGTTTAATTTTTGTGGGCATCATATCTTATCTTGGAATATAATTTATTTTCATATGTCTGTTTTTGTATAGAGAAGAACCTGTTTCTTTTCTCTTCATTGATTAACACATTTATTTCTTGTAATAGTCTTTGAAATATATCCTTAGAAAACTAGACATATTCAGATATTTAAAGGACAAGGCCATCTCTCCACTACAAACACATGCACATATTTGCCATAATTTTTAGATTTTTTTTTGATATTGTTACTTATTTTTAAAATTTAAAAGTAATTGTTGAGTTCTTTATATGTTGTTAAACTGGAAAAAAAAACTTTTGTAATGTTTATCTAGCTTCCTAATGTGAACTATAATTTACATTCTTGTTTGTTTAAACATTTTTTATGTTCTAGTAATATTTTTTGCTACCACAATCTTTTTAAAACCTAGATAATAATTATTAAATATGTTCCTATGTAGGTTATAGTTTTGTGACTATAATGAAATGTCTTTTGAATATATTTTTATGTCATTGGTGTTGGCAATGCTATCTTTTATAAAAATCATGATATATGATTTATGTGACATATATGTAAACTCTTTTTAATCATTTTGAATTTGGACTGGGGATTCTCTAGAGATGCAGTTATGCCATATGTAAATAATTGTATTTCTCTCTCTTCATATACTGTATTTTTTCGATAAACTGTGCTATGTCACAAGGTTAATCTTACTGTACTGTTGGATGTTTAAAATCCATGTATAACACAACACTGGAAATTAGTTTAAATCTTCATTTACATTCTCTTGAACATTAAACAGAGAAATGATGTAGAAATCTTCTGTTAAAATTGTGAATCTATTTATCATCCCAGAATGTCACCCAAAATGACTTCCCATTTTCTTCATGAGTGTTTTCTATCATACATCCTTGCAGAGAAACACCATCCAAACTTTGTCTTTCTCTTCTACTTATCCGCTTAGCCCTTTCTTATGGAATTTAGCCTATGTGTCTTTATTTTGAATCTTATTTCCTTCCCTTACCATTACTAGTGCAATATAGGGCAGAATATTTGACTCAAAAAGCAAATATTTTATTTTATTGTATTTTACCTTTTATAGGTTTAACATGTCAGGAAGTAAAGGCTCTCAGAGAGAAGACATGGTCAAGGACAAATGAAGGTATCCAAAAACTATTACATACAATTTTCATCTCTTTTTTCTGTCACATATTAATTTTTTTTTCAAAAAATTGTAAGCGTGAAAATAACTTTAGGCATTCTTGTGTTCTTCCTAATTGTTTTATTAATGAGTATAATCTTAACACTTCTTCAAAAAATACTTATCTATTGGTAGTGTCTGTTATATACTCCATTTCCTATATTCCCTTTTTTATTTTGAATAATGCATACTTAGAGAAGAGTGTACAAACTTAATATGTGTTTTTTTCATAAATGATTATGAGGAAACATCTATGTCACCTTCCCTCACTTCACACATAGACCTACAATTCTGATTCTTTCATGTCTTTCATGTCAGTATCTAACTTACACAAGAATTTGATTGTGGAAACTTTATTCTTTTAATACTCTGAACATTCCACAAAAGGGCTACATTGCAAACTCCCCAAGTCACTGGTTGGGGTACTGAATGTAGGGATTGGAGTCATCAAGACTCAGGAAAGTTGTGGGAACATCTGCTTGAAGATTAGAGTAAAACTAAAGTTCAAAGATAATACTGAGGTCTTAATTATGGGAAAACCTCACATCATCATCACAGAGTCTGAAGGAAGTGATTAGAGAAGGGGACTGAAGTTGTGGTTACAATGCCAAAAGCTCAGCAGCTTGGAAAATAGGACATTTGCCTCCAGTGCTCTATTGGAAACGAGCCCCTATGTGTTGGGCTGGCTGATATATCCAGAAGATGTTTTTTTACAGTTTTAGAATTATTTATTTCTGGCCAGGCATGGTGGCTCATGCATGTAATCCCAGCACTTTTGGAGGCTGAGGCAGGTGGATCACCTGAAGTCAGGAGTTCTAGACCAGTCTAGCCAACATGGCAAAACCTCATCTCAACTAACAATACAGAAAATTAGCTTGGCATGGTGGTGCATTCCTGTAATCCCAGCTATCTGGGAGACTGAGGCAGGAGAATCGCTTGAACCCAGGAGGCAGAGGTTGCAGTGATCTGGGATCCTGACTCCAGCCTGGTGACAAAGCAAGACTGCATTAAAAAATAGTAATAGGCACGACACGGTGGCTCAAGCCTGTAATCCCAGCACTTTGGGAGGCCGAGGCGTGTGGATCACGAGGTCAAGAGATCGAGACCATCCTGGTCAACATGGTGAAACCCCGTCTTTACTAAAAATACAAAAAATTAGCTGGGCATGGTGGCGTGTGCCTGTAATCCCAGCTACTCAGGAGGCTGAGGCAGGAGAATTGCCTGAACCCAGGAGGCGGAGGTTGTAGTGAGTTGAAATCACGCCATTGCACTCCAGCCTGGGTAACGAGAGCAAAACTCTGTCTAAAAAAAAAAAAAAGAAAGAAAGAAAGAAAATGTCAAATAAATGATAATATATTCTTCTCTTTTAGAATTTTGAAACACTTCCTCAGAGATTGTAAAATAAAATAAAACATTTCCCCTCTCTTTCTACCTTTTCTCTTTCTAAAAACAACAGTTTCTTAATCTAGCAATTATTAATCCTATGTAATGATATGTATATGTATATCATTATTTATAATTATAAATCAATCCTACATATCATTAATAGTTAACATAGTAAATATATATAATAGTATATATATATATGTGTGTGTGCATATATATAGGTACCTCATTTTAAAAAAAGGATGACAATGCTTACACACAAATCTCTGCCTTGCTAATTTTCACATAGTGTATCCTGGATACATTCTATATCAACATATAATGATTTATCTGTTTGCTTTAAACAGGCTCATATCATTTTGAATATCTTCTAATGATAAAAGAGTCAAACCAATTGAAGAGCACAGAGAAAATATCTGAGGATAATCTACTGTGGATTTTGTTTAATATTTATATCATAGTTTTTTCTTTTAAGGAGAGCACTTCCCTAACATAGTTTTATACATGATGGTGCTTATTTTAAATTTTCTGTGATATTAACTACTCACTAAAATATGTATTTTTTCCTTTTAAAAGGCAATGTCACATCTCAAAGTTTGGTTCTCTTTGGAGCCTCTAAGGAGACCAGTGAAAGTTTTCATGAAAGTAAAATGACAAACACCGAAGGTGAGGACTGAATGTAAATCATATAGCAAACTATATAAGCTATATTAATATTCCCTCACTAGTTTATGATGTCAATACTATTTCTATATTAAATAAATCCTATATATCATAATAGTTAACATAGTAAAGATATTCAGTAGTAAAGATATAATGTATTATATTGTATTAATTGTATATTATTAATGTATAATCTGGGTTTATGAATTATTATATAATTTCAGAAATGTATGAGTTTTAAAATAAATTTTTAATCACTCAAGCTCTGATTGGCCTGTTCTAGACAGAACATTTCCATTTCATTGAAGACATGTTTCTTAGAAGAAAAAGAAAGAAGGCAAATGTTTGGGGGTGTGTTTTTCATTTTTCTATAATTATTTTCTTTTATTATTTTTTAATTCCATGGTACATGTACAGGATATGCAGGTTTGTTACATAGGTAAACACATGCCATGGTGGTTTGCTGGACCTATCAACCCATCACCTAGGTATTAAGCCCAACATGCATTAGCTCTTTTTCCTAATGCTTTTCCCAACCCTGCCCTCCCTGATAAGCCCCAGTAAGTGTTCTTCCCCTCCCTGTGTCCATGTGTTCTCATCGTTCATCTCTCACTTATAAGCAAGAACATATAGTGTTTGTTTTTCTGTTCCTGTGTTAGTTTGCTGAAGATAATGGCTTCCAGCTTCATCCATGTCCCTGCAAAGGACATGATCTTGTTCCCTTTTATGGCTGCATAATATTCCATGATGTATATGTACCACATTTTTTTAAGTGTATAATTGATGGACATTTGGGTTGATTCCATGTCTTTGCTATTGTGAATAGTGCTGCAATGAACACAACACATGCATGTATCTTTTTAATAGAATAATTTATGCTCCTTAGGGTGTATGCCCAGTAATGGGAATGCTGAGTCAAAGGGTATTTCTGGTTCTCGACCTTTGAGGAATCACCACACTGTCTTCCACAGTGGTTGAACTAATTTACACACTCACCAACAGTGTAAAAGTGTTATTTCTCTGAAACCTCATCAGCATCTGTTGTTTCTTGACTTTTTAATAATTGGCATTTTGACTGGCATGAGGTAGTATCTCATTGTGGTTTTGATTTGCATTTCTGTAATGTTCAGTAATATATGTTTGTTGGCCACATATGTCTTTCTTTGAGAAGTGTTTGTTCATATCCTTTGCCCATTTTGTTAATGTGATTGTTATTTTTTCTTGTAAATTGCCTTAAGTTCCTTATAGATTCTGGATATTAGACCTTTGTCAGATGCATAGATTGCAAAAATGTTCTCCCATTCTATAGGTTGCCTATTCCTTCTGATGATGGTTTCTTTTGTGGTGCAGAAGCTCTGTAGTTTAATTAGATCCCATTTGTCAATTTTTGTTGCAATTGCTTTTGGCAATTTCATTATAAAGTCTTTCCCCATGCCTATGTCCTGAATTGTATTGCCTAGATTTTATTCTAGGGTTTTTATAGTTTTGGGGTTTACATTTAAGTCTTTAATTAATCTTGAGTTAATTTTCATATGAGGTGTAAGGAAGGGGTCCAGTTTCAATTTTCTGCATATGATTAGCCAGTTCTCTCAGCATCATTTACTAAATGGGGAATCATTTCCCCATTGCTTGCTTTTGTCATGTTTGTTGAAGATCGATGGTTTTAGATGTGTGATTTTATTTCTGAGTTCTCTATTTTGTTCCATTGGTCTATATGCCTATTTTTATACAGTACAGTGCTGTTTTGGTTGCTGTAGACTTATAGTATAGTTTGGAGTTAGGTAGCATGATACCTCCAGGTTTGTTTTATTTTTTGCTTAGGATTGCCTTGGCTATGTGAGCTCTTTTTTGGTTCCATGTGAATTTTAAAATAATTTTGTTTCTAATTCTGTGAAGAATGTCAATGGTAGTGTAATGGGAATAACATTGAATCTATAAATTGCTTTGGGCAGTATGGTTATTTTCACAATATTGATTCTTCCTATCCATGAGCATGAAATCTTTTTCCATCTGCTTGTATCCTCTCTAATATCTTTGAGCAGTGGTTTATAGTTCTCCTTGAATAGGTCCTTCACTTACCTTGTCAATTGTTTTCCTAGGTATTTTATTCTCTTTGTGGCAGTTGCAAATGGGAGTTCATTCATGATTTGGCTCTCTGCTTGTCTGTTGTTGGTGTACAGGAATGCTTGCGATTTCTGCACATTGATGTTGTATCCTGAGACATTGCTAAAGTTGCTTATCAGCTTAGGAAACTTCTGAGTGTTTTGATGGGGTTTTCTAGATATAGGATTATGTCATCCTAAAACAAAGACAATTTGTCTTCTTTTTTTCCTATTTGAATACACTTTTTTTTCCCCCTTACCTGGTAGCCCTGGCCAGAACTTCCAGGTTTTGGTATCAGGAGTATGCTGTCCTCATAAAATGAGTTAGGGAGGAGTCCCTCCTTTTCCGTTTGGAATAGTTTCAGAAGATATGGTACCAGCTCCTCTTTGTACCTCTGGTAGAATTCATCTATAAATCCATCTGGATCTGGGCCTCTTTTTGGTTGGCAGGCTATTTATTACTGCCTCACCTGCTTTCAGAACTTGTTATTGGTCTATTTAGGGATTCAAATTCTCCCTAATTCAGTCTTAGGAGGGTGCATGTGTCCAGGAATTTATCCATTTATTGTAGATTTTCCAGCTTATTTGCATAGAGGTGTTTATAGTATTCTCGGATGGTTGTTTGTATTTCTGTGGGATCAGTGGTGGTATCTCCCTTATTGTTTCTGATTGTGTTTATTTGAATCTTCCTTTTCTCTCTCTTTTTTAAATTAGTCTCACTAGCAGTCTATCTATTTTATTGAGTTTTTTTTTTTTTTTAAGAAAGAAACAGCTGCTGGATTTGTTGATTTTTTTTTTTTTTTTGGTGTGTTTTTTTCTGTTTAGCTCCTCAGTTCCACCCTCAGCTTGGTTATTTCTAGTCTTCTGCCAGCTCAGGAGTTTGTTTGCACTTTGTTCTCTAGTTCATTTAGTTGTAATGTTAGGGTGTTGATTTGAGATCTTTCTAGCTTTTTGATGTGGGCATTTAGTGCTATAAATTTCCCACTTAACACTTCTTTAGCTGCATCCCAGAGATTCTGATATTTTGTCACTCTATTCTCATTGGTGACAAAGAACTTGATTTCTGTCTTAGTTTCATTATTTACCCAGGAGTCATTCAGGAGCAGGTTGTTCAATTTCCATGTAGTTGTGTGATTTTGAGGGGGCTTTTTAATCTTGAGTTCTAATTGGATTGCACTGTGGTCTGAGAGAGTGTTTGTTATTATTTCACTTATTTTGCATTTGCTGAGAAGTGTTTTACTTCCAATTATGTAATCAATTTTAGAGTAAGTACCACATGGCACTGAGAAAAAATGTATATTCTGTTGTTTTGGGGTGAAGAGTGCTGTGCATATCTATCAGGTCCACTTGGTCTAGAGCTGAGTTCAGGTCCTGACTATCTTTGTTGATTTTCTGTCTCAAAGATCTGTCCAATACTGACAATGGGATATTAAAGTCTCCCTCTATTATTGTGCGGGGGTCTAAGTCTCTTTGTAGGCCTCTAAGAACTTGTTTTAAAATCTCAATGCTCCTGTATTGGGTGCATATATATTCAGGAAAGTTAGCTCTTCTTGTAGAATTGAACCTTTAACATTATGTAATGGCCTTCTTTGCCTTTTTTGACCTTTGTTGGTTTAAAGTCTATTTTTCCAGAAACTAGGATTGCGACCTCTGCTTTTCTTTTGCTTTCAATTTTTTTTTTTTTTGTAAAATTTCCTCCATCCCTTTATTTTGAGTCTATGTGTGTCTTTGCATGTGAGATGAGTCTCTTCACTACAGCACATGGATGGGTCCTGTCTTTGTATCCAGCTTGCCATTCTGTGTCTTTTAATTGGGGCATTAGCCCATTTACATTTAAGGTTAATATTATGTATGAATTAGATCCTGTCATCATGACATAGGCTGGTTAGTTTTGCAGACTTCTTAATGTAGTTGCTTCATAGAGTTGTTGGTCTGTGTACTTCAGTGTGTTTTTGTAGTGGATGGTAATGGTTTTTCCTATGTATGTTTAGTGCTTCCTTTAGGAGCTCTTGTAAGGTAGACCTGGTGTTCACAAAATCCCTCAGCAGTTGTTTGTCTAAAAAATATTTTATTTCTCCTTCACTTATGAAGCTCAGTTTGGCCTGATATGAAAGTCTGGGTTGGAATTTCTTTTAAGAATGTTGAATATTGTCCCCTAATCTCTCCTGGCTTGTAGGGTTTCCACTGAGAAGAACATTGTTAGCCTGATGGGCTTCCCTTTGTAGAAAACCTTGCCTATCTTTGTGGCTGCCCTGAACATTTTTTTCTTCATTTTGACATTGGAGAATCTGATGATTATGTGTCTTGGGGGTTACTCTTTTCATGCAGTATCTTACTGGGGTTCTCTGGATTTCCTGAATTTGAAAATTGGCCTGTCTTTCTAGGTTGGGGAAGTTCTCCTGGATGGTGTCCTTAAGTGTGTTTTCCAATTTGATTCCATTCTCCCCATCTCTTTCAGGGACTCCAATCAGTCATAGATTCAGTCTTTTTACATCGTTCCATAGTTCTCAGAATTTTTGTTTGTTTTGTTTCATTTTTAAAAAATTGAATCTTGTTTGCCTGCCTTATTTCTGCAAGATAGTCTTCAAGCTCTGATATTCTCTCTTCTGCTTGGTCGATTCAGCTATTGATTCTTATGTTCACATTGTGAAGTTCCCATGCTGTGTTTTTCAGCTCTGTCAGGTCATTTATATTTCTTTCTATACTGGTTATTCTAGTTAACAGCTTCTGTAACCTTTTATCGTGGTTCTTAGCTTCTTTGCATTGAGTTAGAACATAATCCTTTAGGTCAGTAAAATTCACTATTACCCACTTTCTGAAGCCTACTTCTGTCAGTTCATCCATCTCAGCTTCAGCCCCATTCTCTGCCCTTGCTGGATAATTGTTGTGATTATTTGAAGG